CCAACATATGTCTTGTCGTTTCAGACCTGCGTGGGTATTGTATAGCCGTCTCATTTAAAAAGTATACGTGGCACATAAAAAGAAAACTGGTACATGAAGTTTTAGGTTAATCAAGAAGAGTGGAACGATTAATCCAGTCCTGATTCTCAAAGATCATTGAGTCCTCGACTATCCTTCTACACTGGCTACTGTATTCGACCGGAGAGGGGATGTGGTCAGAGACTTGTTATATTTTTTGCTGCCGCCTCCTACCCACTACGGGGCGAGCAACAAACAAACAAAAGATCAAAGGAGCGATCTCCTGTTTACGCTTCGGCTCTCCTATCCCGCCAAAGAGGCGTGGCCCAGGCATGGCCGTCGGCGCCACCAGCCCTATAACCTTCTTATATTAACATCTAGTTAGCTATACTACTAGAGCCGTCCATTTTTAAAACTCTGACTTCTACGCAGAAATTTCAAAACACCTTATTTATAATGTTCTGTTAAAAAATTTAAAATTAAAAAAAAAATATTAGACAGAAATATGTAGTGAAATAACTAAACTAATAATATTTTTAATATTACAAAACGTTTAGAACCAAATAGAAAGACATATTTTCCATTAGAGAAAATACTTATGCGCAATCATTCACCATATAAGAACACATACGCAGAAATTACCTATTAGTTAGTAGGTAGTCTGACCTATATACTGTAATATATGTATATATATATATATATATATATATATATATATATATATATATGATTACAAATATAGATATCCTAGATGGCCCGTGCGAAAATTTTATTTAGTAAATAAATAGCAAAACAATACGGAAATAAGTAGTTCCTATGTATTATGTAAGGAAGGAATTAATATATTTTCCTTAGTCGATTACAATATTTCATTAAACATAATAGACCAAAATATTTGTACAAATTGCTTTGACAGGACCTATATTTAAACGCTGCCTGGAAAGATAATAAATGTAATAAAGACAAAGTAATGCCCCGATCATGGGATATTCTAAATTATTAAAAAAAAAAAAAAAAATAGAATATAAGAACAACCAAATGTCTTTAAGAAATCATAAAGTTAATATAAAAGCTAATTTATATTTTTTTAAAAATTAGTAGACTATTCTACTCCTAAATGCAATATCTTTAAACAGAAAGACATTATTAAGTATACATAAACTAATGGACTGTATCTTTGTTAATAATTGTCCGAATTTTACGGTTTGTTTTGTTTTGTAGGTAATTTAGCAACCTTTCTAATTATTATGCGTACAATCGAGAAAAAATGCATACTTTTTGAGTTATTCACAAATAAAGTTTCTTTTCCTTCATAAATTTTTTTCCAGAAATTTCGGAGATGAGTGGTCAATTATTAAATTTGATGAAGAAATATATATTCCTTCAACTTTTCAACAGATCTCTAGGCCACTGCCTTTTTAGTCGTCTTTGAGGCTCAACAGGTAACAGGGAGGAAGATAGAGATAGAACGAGTGGATTTGGATGATTGAGAGTAGAAGTGTGAAATGTTGTGTACTTGTTGTGTATGTAGGATTTTACTTTTGTTATGTTCATGTCTTTGTGTATGGTGTGATTTGAAATAAACCAAGGAGCATTGACAATTTTACGGGGTATTTTGGATTGTGTGGTTTGAATTTTGTTGATGTATGTGTGTTTTGCGGAACCCAAAGTTCTGCTCCGTATGTCCAAATAGGTCTTAGTATAGTGGTGTAGATTAGTCGATTGTTTAGTAAGTTGGTTGGAGATCTGTAGTCCAAAAGATGTGACAGTTGTTTGTATCGTCTGGCCAGTTCTTGTTTTTTTAATTTAGTGTGAATGTTCCAGGTGAGTTTTTTGTCCAAGTATAGTCCGAGATACCGTACATGTGTTTTTGAGGGAACTGGTTTATTGTCTATTGTCACAGCAGGACACGAGATCTTCCTCAGGGAGAAACTAACATGAGTTGACTTGTTGGGATTGATGTTAATTCCCCATTTGTGAAACCATTTTTCAAGGACGTGCAGGTGATTTTGAAATATATATATATTTATATATATATATATATATATATATATATATACATGATATATATATATATATGATTACAAAACGACGGACAAATTATATAACTTTTTACGTTTCTCAAATTGTATAACTTTGATTCACATTTAAAATTTAAATGTATTCTGTAGTTCAGATTGTATTTTTTTTTTTTTTTTTGTGAACACAAAAGAAACTAACCAAAAAACAGTTAGGACAAATTCTTTAAAAATCTGTATTAACATCGCACATTATTGCCTATTTATATTATATTATTATATAATTATATTTATTTTGATTGTCAATTTGTAACCATAATATATATATATTCTGTCATCCTACCTCACTATAACCAATGTCCAACAGACAGATTGTTATAATACTCAATAAAGAAATTTAAAAAAAAAAAATATATATATTCAATTTATCTAGCATCATATGAGCCCAACAATAATTTTAAGTCTTTTATTTATAATATTTTTGTTGCTCGTTATGATATGCTTTCTTTTCTATTGCATAATAATTAATATATTAAAGTCAAGAGGAAATGTCAAGATCGAAAAATAGGTAAAAATAGATCACCTAGGTAAAATCAAACTAACGCCCCCAGATAAATAAATACTATTTCTCGTTCATATTTTTAGTGTAAAATCTTTATTTTGTATTTGTGACAGGAGCTCAACACATATTTATTTAAAAGAGCAGCTGTGTAATTAGTGCTAATTATAGAGCTAAATGGAGAGCTTCTGTAACCTCCTACGCTCCTAATACTAAAATTAAAAAAAATATGACATACACTGAAAACTTTGTTTTATATATATATATATATATATATATGACAAAAAAATATGACATACACTGAAAACTTTGTTTTATATATATATATATATATATATATAAAACAAAGTTTTCAGTGTATGTCATATTTTTTTTAATTTTAGTATTAGGAGCGTAGGAGGTTACAGAAGCTCTCCATTTAGCTCTATAATTAGCACTAATTACACAGCTGCTCTTTTAAATAAATATGTGTTGAGCTCCTGTCACAAATACAAAATAAAGATTTCACACTAAAAATATGAACGAGAAATAGTATTTATTTATCTGGGGGCGTTAGTTTGATTTTACCTAGGTGATCTATTTTTACCTATTTTTCGATCTTGACATTTCCTCTTGACTTTAATATATTAATTATTATGCAATAGAAAAGAAAGCATATCATAACGAGCAACAAAAATATTATAAATAAAAGACTTAAAATTATTGTTGGGCTCATATGATGCTAGATAAATTGAATATATATATTTTTTTTTTTTAAATTTCTTTATTGAGTATTATAACAATCTGTCTGTTGGACATTGGTTATAGTGAGGTAGGATGACAGAATATATATATATTATGGTTACAAATTGACAATCAGAATAAATATAATTATATAATAATATAATATAAATAGGCAATAATGTGCGATGTTAATACAGATTTTTAAAGAATTTGTCCTAACTGTTTTTTGGTTAGTTTCTTTTGTGTTCACAAAAAAAAAAAAAAAAATACAATCTGAACTACAGAATACATTTAAATTTTAAATGTGAATCAAAGTTATACAATTTGAGAAACGTAAAAAGTTATATAATTTGTCCGTCGTTTTGTAATCATATATATATATATATCATGTATATATATATATATATATATATATATATATATATATATATATATATATATATATATATATATATAAATATATATATATTTCAAAATCACCTGCACGTCCTTGAAAAATGGTTTCACAAATGGGGAATTAACATCAATCCCAACAAGTCAACTCATGTTAGTTTCTCCCTGAGGAAGATCTCGTGTCCTGCTGTGACAATAGACAATAACAATAATGACAATAGACAATATATATATATAATAGTAGCTATAATATCAGGAATCTTTTACTTTATTGTTAATTTACAGTAGAAGATGCATTATTAATAGTTTTAGTGGTTATAAAAAAGCATCATTAATGTATTAGTTAGATAATAACTCTTGAGTTCTTAATAATACTGTTTTCCGTTTATTTTAATTTAGTATTCTTTAGCAAGCCAAAGTCATCTAAGATAAAAATAATCCAATATAATCGGCAATAAATTTCATGGAAATTAGAGAAATTACATAAACTATATTACTTTAAGTAAGAAAACAAAAAAAAAAAACAAAAAAATATTTAAAAATAAATATTTATTAAAAATTATAGCTAGATTTAATTTTTTTCCCAGGAGGGTGTGGGAGATATCGTTTATCTACCCAAAATAATGTTTTTTGTTTCTGGTTTTAGTGTCAGCATTATTTAATGAAACATTATAAGAAGAAATGATAATTAAAAACAATGAAGGAGAAATTATGATGAAAGAGAAAACAGAAAAAGAGGCTTAGCTCATGGTTTAAAATTATTAATTTTTAAAAGTCATAAGTCCTTCGAATTAAAAATTCCGGTAAATTTTCCCCAAAATTTTTAGAAATGAAAACCTCTTAAGGGCACCCCTAATATTCGAAATATAGATGGAATAAGCCAGGAATGTCAAATCTACATCAAATAAACAATTGATGGTGTCTATAAGTTAGATATACGTGCTGATAGATTCTAAGCTTACATTCCAATCATTTTCAACTGCCCTGTGTATGTGTGAACGTTTAAATATCTATTTTGACATATAACATAGGAATTTATTTAGAATTCCTTCAAAATTCTTTGTCATCTCATAGTTTATTTACTCACTTGGTTTATTTTCATTATTGTTATCCATTCGTAACAAATAACCAGAAATGTTTTTTTAAAAAAGTTGGTTTATTATCAAGACCTCTGTATAATATACATCATATTACTTATAACATTTTCTTGTAGAAAATAAGTTTGATAAATTAGAGAAATATTTTAAAACTTAAAACTTTTCCGAGATGCTGAAAGGATGTCAGAAGTTTTAAACCACCGGAATAAAACTTTCCACCGATAAATTAAGAAGTTGCTGAGAAGAATCTCCTGCCGAGGAAAGGCTGCCGGAAGAAACCAAGAACAGAGAGTGCGGGATGGTTGAGGTCTGGAGAATGATGAAGTTTAAAAGAGGCGGTGAGGGATGGAGAGCAAGGAGCCTGGAACTATGCACTGGAATCGTGTTGTTAGTCTTGAATAATTCAACATGGAAACAATTTAAACTGGAAATATCTCTGGAATCCGAGGAGCAGTCCCCCGGGATGGGGTGTACTAATTAAATATGAGTTAAAACAGTTCTATTCTAATTAAAATGGATGAATGTTGCAGGGATGGATATGTTCTATGTCTGGAATCTGCAGAGGGGGGAGGGAGGAGACGCTGGAGTCGAGGGGGGAGGGGGAGGTTCGCTGTACCAACTTCAAACGAATTAGTTGTAGTTCTGTCTGCTTCGTTTTAGGTCAATTTTTATTCATTTATTTATTTTATCTCTTCATTCATAGAGTAAAAAATCATGCAACATTCATATGCTAAATCTACCAATTATTATTTATTTACAATCCAGGTATAAGCACTGCACAGTAGATGGAATGAGGTAAAACTCACGACATTGACCAAAATATCATATTTATAATATGTCTTTTAAAGAGTGAGGGCGGGGAATTTAAAATCCCCTCTGGCACCGGGACGCGAACTCGTGACTATTTTCATATAGAATCATATATCCGGTTGCCGGACAACGGCGGTGCAGTGCACACGCGTTAGCCCATTCGGCCACCCCCCCCCCCCAATTCACCAAGACATGTAAAAATCAAGTTTTAACAATCAACAAGTTTGTGAGATTAAAATTTTTTTCAATTATAACATAGCATTGATTTTACATGTCACAACTCACCAAGACATGTAAAATCAATGCTATGTTATAATTGAAAAATTTTAATCTCACAAACTTGTGTCTCTTAAATGAATGTAAAGAATCACTTAACCCAACAACGTTTCACCAATTCTGGCATCTCCAGCACAGAAAAGAAACCTAAAATCGCATAACTCCATATCGTCCAATCGCACAATGGTGAGGAAGGTTATAATCAAACAGTTAATAAAAAATAAAATGATGAAAAACATGTAACTATCAACACAAATACATAAATTAAATTGCAAACGAAATTTGTGAGTCCTCGAGATTGATTGATGTAATAGTGTTTTTATTTATTTTTAAATTAATGAATATTCAGAAGGCAAAGAACTGGATGAAAACATAAATGAAATCCTGGCTGTCGCTTTTTCTTATATTCCGTTTCGGTGGGTAGTTTAAACAATGAACAAAGAACGAAAAACGATTTCAAAACGTCACTATAATCTTTTTCGCGGTTTTACGAAATTAACACCACTATCCAGGACTCCACACTGCATTAAAATCGGATGTACTAGCGACCATTTTTAGCACACAAATCTGCAACAAGTTTCTCAACTTTAACGCATTTAAGAGGTTTACTAGGAACCAAAGCATTAAAGAGCAACTAGGAGTTATCGAACGTAAAACCACTCTAGAAAGACGGCAACTCCAGTGGTTTGAACATGTCTGCCGCATGAATGAGAATTTGAATCCTATAAGGATATTGGAGGCTCGACCCACAGGAAGGAGACCACGTGGACGCCCCATAATCACATACCAAGAGTATATTCAAAGAATTATGGATGTAAAAGACGCAAAACCATCAATAAGATAAAGCGGCCAAGCAGGGACCAGGAAGAGTGGTTACGCTGGATTGAGACTCAACGCTAACTAATGGCATAAGAGGAAGACAAAGAAAAAGAAGAAGAAGAAGAGGTTTACAATAATTATTAAGGTTCGCATGAATACCCCTCAGGTGTCCATCAGCCCCAAGGTTGATGACGCATGAATCCATCGCATGGTCGATGACTCTCCCTTTTCTCAAGATATTTTATTGTTCCCCTCTTCTTAAAAACAGTGTAATATAAAGTAAAGTTTTAAAATTCATAGGTAATATACAATTACACTTTCAGTGGTCTTTTCTACGTTTTCCTCTTGTCCTCTGGTTTGAAGTTTTTCATTTCAAAAATTCATAACTATCCCGGTCGAAATGTATCCTCTCTTTTGATTTTGATGGCGCGCCATAAGCCCCCGGGCATCCCTGATACTCATAATATCAACGCATAGGCACGATGGCGAAGCCTTGGATGACGCTGGTATACCCTTCTTCTGAATTAAATGTATAGCCAATACGGTAATGTTTAATTCCTAATAATAATTAATGATTAATAAAATATGTAAATACTTACTCGTCTTAGACCTGGGTTCCCTGGGTCCATCCACGGTGACCTTTATCGCTTTGGTATAGGTGGCCACCTGTGGCGGCGTCGAACTGACGGTGATCGTCAGGGTGAAACTTTTACCTAAAAATTAAAATATAATATATTATTGTAATGAATTTTATAAGTTAAAATATTTGATATACTCTACTATATATATAGATTTGATATAGACTAATAACTAACTAATGAAAAAATCAGAGAATTATAGTAATTAAATGAAATTCCGAAACATTTAATATAATCTGAACTGGTGTATTTTATTTCAGATTTAAGATCATTCTACTAAACCTTGAAGAATGGTGTCAAAACTGGAGGATTAAAGTAAATTCCAATAAATATCATCAAATCATCATTACCCTTCGTTGTAAATCTATGGCTTCCTGTCCTACAGTATCCTTTAATAGCACTCATCTTATCCCTATTCAAAAAATCCGATACCTAGGACTCCACCTGGACAAACGTCTCACTTGGAATCATAGTACAAGACTGAAATGACAAGATACTGCTACGTTTCCGCTTACTCCAACGATTATTAGACAAACGCTCTAAACTTCCAATTAATTACAAAAGACTCATATATATGACTATGATAAGACCTATTTGGACTTACGGAGTTGAGCTATGGGGCTCCACTAAACCATCAAATTCATTTTCTATCTAATCTTTACAACCCAAAATCCCTTCGTGAAATCCTCAATGCTCCTAACTTTATCACAAATACAAAAATCCATAAAGACCTTATTGTTCCACATGTATTTAGCCTAATCCAGATACCTATCCTTCCATAATAAACTTCATAACCATCCGTATCCTCTCGTTTCTAACGTTGCTTCCTCTTCGATTCCTGATATGCCTCGGAGGCGTCTGAAAGGAAGATGGTCTCGTGATCTCCTAATGTAGACATAGTATTAGAGTGCTACCAATGGATAGTTTCTCAACAAGTATTTTCATGTCATTATAACCATTTGTACATATTTACTAGATGTATTTTTTTAAATATAGTTGTAAATACTATGAGTAAATAAAAAAAAATAATTAAAAAGTTTAAATTATAAGAATTTCCATGTGTTGAGTATCAAATTAACAACTTTTTTTTTCTATAAAAATTGTTTGCGCCTGTCAACTTATTGTTGACAATCAGCAAATGTGATGGCGATACATGAAATAATGAATGGGGAAGAAAAGTGCCTCCCCTAACTTGTTCCAATTACTTAGGTTATTTAAGGAAGAAGATCTCTCATCCAACGCCTTTTTAGTCTCCTCCTCATGTTCTGAGGTAGGTTAGTTGTGGCCATGTCTCTTATTAGTCTGTTATTATGTCCATTTAAATTTGTGTAAAACCGTTAATTAAGGATCGTTATATGTTGGTCAACTGTTGGAAGGTGAAGATCGGTATGTTTGAGTTTTGTTAGTCACGTACCAAGGAGCTTTTGTTATGAGTCGCAATAATTTTGATTGGAACGTTTGAAGTTTTTGTAGGTGGGTCTTTTTAGCGATACCGTATATTTGTGATGAGTACGTCCATATGGGTTTAAGTAAGTATGTATATGTATTCAGTTTCTGTTTTCCTTTTAGTTTTGAAGATTTGGCAAAAAGAGAGTAAAGTAGTTTGAGTTGTTTGTTAAGTGTCTTACTTTTCCTTTTGGGCCCCATGTTATCCTTCTGTTGAAGGTGAGTCCAAGGTAAAGTATCGTGTCCTTTTAAGGAATTTGATTGTTGTCTTACTTTTCCTTTTGGGCCCCATGTTATCCTTCTGTCGAAGGTGAGTCCAAGGTAAAGTATCGTGTTCTTTTAAGGAATTTGATTGTTGTCAATATAAACTGGAGAACAGGTTAATCGACAACATAGTATGTTATTTTATTATACTACATTAAGGTCATCATTTAAATTGTAAAGTCCGGTGGCTTTTAATAAAATAGTTTTGCAACTATTTAGTATATTTATGACCGCCACCCCGAACCATATCCTTCCTTAAATGTATTTTTATTTTAATAATTGACAGTGTTCTGACTATCATCCATAATATCAACATTTGTCAACAGCTGCATATCCTGAACGTCCGTAAGGCATGCAGTTCCAATATTAGCTTCGAAATTAACAATATAAAAACAACCGTAGCGATTATAAATACTGTGTATGAAAAGGGGTGGTGACCTGCGGTGTGGCCGGAGCCGCTGATACTGAAGTAACTAAAATTTCTGGAATGCCGGTATAAAACACGGGGATATTACATTCCGGCCGGACCTGTGACGGTTTTAATAAACTAATTTCGACAGGCATTCAGTCATCCCACCGCACAGTATTTGTTTACACATTACATCGTCTGTGTTAGTGTCAGATGTCATGTCATAGGGGTGTCACGTCACTTGTCATATTATAAGATCTACGTAGGAGCCGATAAGCGTAGTTATGACTTCTTAATTTACTTAAAAATTTTAACTAAACTTTTTTTACAATTCGATAATTTTATCTTTGGTACAGACCTCTTTTTATGGAATTATTAACATCTGCCTGTTAATAGTTTCGTAAATAGCTTTATCTCGTCGTAATCTACAAATACTTTATTAACGAAAATTCTTGGAATGGGGGCAAACTTTGTCTATTTAATTAGGTACTAAAAATCCATTTGCTTTCCACTTAAACCGTAAGATAACTTGAGCACAAAGTCGGGAAAAAAAAGTGGCCTAAAAGAATATTGAGGCGTTTGGCCTATATAACCTCATTATTTTGACAACTTGGGGATATAGGTCACGCCAATCGGCTGAATATTTTTGAAGGCCATGAGTAATTTGGAACTGTTTGAGCTTAAAACACAAATTATTGTTTAGTATGTCCGTCATTAGGTAGAGTAAACGCACCAGTGATGCGTAAAAACAATTTTTGCCTTATTCCGCCGCGTAATTATTATAGTTATAAAGTTCTCCGTTTGACATTTATAATCTCTATGGTGTCCTTTTTCTTTTTAACAATTTAAAATTGAAAAAAATGTAGTTATGCAAATATAATCTCCATTTAAAAAACACCTTTTTGCACTAGTGATGGACACCCCGAAATTCAATTGTTCTAGTAATGGACACACATCAGAAAAATTCTAATATCTTTAACTATAAAGTTAACAATAAATATAAGATAACATAAATGTTCAACTGACTCTTAGCAAAACTTTTAGTAGGAGGGTATGAAACACACTGATCTCAAGAACACTATAGCAACAACAATGATAGGCATTTTAAAATTTTCTTTTAAGAACTTTGTTCATGGAGTTATAAATAAAGGTCACTGTTCTTAACTCAAGGAAAAACTAGAACCTTTAAATCAACAAGGAAGTTTATTTACATTTAAAGTTCAACCTGTCCATTACTGGGTCCCATGACCATAACTGGTGCTTTCACCCTATTTTGCGATTTTATATTGAATGATCCTTCTTTGATTGTTAAACTAATTAAGGAAGTTTCGAAAAAATGATTTCAAATATTTTGAGCTAAAAGTACAGAAAAAATACTTTATTATATTTTAAATATTTTCAATTTTCTGTTTGTTTTAAATCATGGCCATGTTTGTTGAATATAAATAGCTATGTTTTTCTTTAGGAAGCTTTCCTGATCCATACTCTCAACCATTCCATTTTATCTAGTATCTGATTGGGTAAGGAATGAAATATGACAATAAAAAATTTAAATAAATAATTATGACAAATCTTATAAAAAATAAGAGGATATAAGATATATAATAAAGAATAAATGTTTTTGGAAGAATAAATACTGTTAATAAATCTTACTTATATACCATTTTATTTATTTTATCCTCCACTCTATCCTTCTGTCTAACTGGGAGTCTATCCCTCCTTTTTCTATCATCTGCCTCCCAATTCATAATTATCGTTGGTATTCAATCGTCGCCCATTCGTCTCACATTACCATACCATCTGACTCTCCTTTACGCCATTACTTCTAGGATATTTCATTTTACTTCAAATCTCTCCCTTCTAATGACGTAAAAATCCATTTCAACTAAAAGATATTTTTTTCCCTTGGTCATACTGAGGGGCCAAGTCTCAGAAACATATAGTAATAAAATTTCTAACAAAGCTTTGTATATTAGCTTTTCAGTTTTTAATAAAATAAATAGAAATTGTCGGTACTTAAAAAACTAAAAAAAAAATCATTAAAATAAAAGTTAATTTATCAAAAAAAAACAAAAAAAAAAAAAAAAACGACTACAGAACTAATTCTTTCTGAGGGAATGTACTTATATATCTACTTAAACAAGGTGGGTAGAGAAATTGATTTCTACTAATAATTACACTTGGTGTAGTAGTCGGGTGCTTTTCACTACACATTATGACTCCTAGCAATTGGATCCATGCATACTTATGGTATCTTGTGAACAGTTGCATGTAAAAATTTGAAAGAAGGGTTCATTCGGGTCTGGAAGGCAACATACTACTTACTATACTAAGGTTAAATGATAAAATTATTTTTGTAATTATTTAAAAAAAAAAAATTTAACTTTTATGTATAATGTAAATACACAATGAAGTTACAGCATTGACTGTAAATAACACAGGAGAATCGTGATTCGAATAATGAAGGTATAATTTTGAAAATATTTAGTCCATGTATCAGAGACCCCAATTCGTGAAACGATGAGCCGAAGGGACGAGGGTTAACACGAAGTAGATTGAAACGAAAGAGGAAATTGAAATTACCGAGCGTGGCGTGAGGAGAGGATAGCACGTCAAGTACAGGCTTCCACCGTCTTCATTCGGGCACGGAAGGTGCGAGCACATCAACGGCTCTATTAGGCCATCGATGGATAGTGAATAGGGTTCTCCATCTAAAAGTGAGTATTTAATGTTGTACCTATGCTATTAGTGGGACGTAACCTATCCCAATAATGCAACTGTTTCTTCAACCTTTTCTACTTTTTGCGTTTTCTCAGGAGTCATCGCGCTGTCCCAGGTAATTTAAAGTAAAAATATCGATAGTAAATATTTTAATGGAAAATGACATAAGACGTGTCTTTATAAATCGGTGTGTTAGAGAATTAGTAGAAACAAATAAAAACAGTACAAGTAAAAATAACGGCAAACATTAGGAATTGAGAATTTGTAATAAATAATAAATTATTTTGGTTTTATCGCCAGAGAGGACAGCTAATTTATCTTCTTTCAGGTTACGATTTTCTGAAGTGAAAACTTCTTTAAGTTTTGTAATTTTTTATAGAGACTGCATTAGATTTGGGATGTGTAAAGCTTCGTTAAAGTCGGTTGTCGTCGAATAATTGAAATGTTTTTTCAAATAGATTTAAACAGCTCCAAAACTGAAACTTGGATCTATATATTGTTAAAAAGGGAAATGTTCATAATTTCATCCCATTTGTAATGAGCAATTATTCAAAATTGTATCTTAACGCGAGGCAGTTTTAGAGATGCAAAAAGGGAAAACAGTGTCGTAAACCAAATGATAACGATTTTTATGGAAGAAATGGATTAAAATATCTCAGAAACAAAAAATCAGACCTGAATATTGTAAGCGATAGAAATTCAGTAAGTTCAGCATTTTATCCTCTTTATAGTGAGCTATTAATTATAATTTATATTTCATATTATTAATCTCCCCTTGTTGATGTTTTTACTTCTTTTGTCTGGTCTAAAGGACACACCTTAGTTTTTTCTCTCTCTAAAATATGGATTTGAAAATGGAAATAAGCCTTTTTATGATGTCTGAACTGAGTTCATAAAAAATTCAGGTTGAGTAAAAAATAATATTTTGCAATTGGGTGATTTTATAAATTTTGAAATACTATAACGTTCCCGGAACATCGTAGAGCAGCATAATATTATTTATTCAGTTTATAATATTGGTGTTTTTTAAATAAATGAGCAATATTTAAGAAACATTAAAAAAAAACGTCACCCCTTTCAAACTTTATAAGGTTTCAGGAAGTAAATAAAAGATTTATTAAAAAAAAGTTTTAATGATTCCTTTCACACCTTTTCTTGCATTACATTCCACTCAAAACACAAGTAAAAAAAAAAAAAAAGTGAAAACCTTATAATAACCTTTCCCAAACATTTATGAAGGTAACACTAAAATTAACAGACACCAGACTTCGCTAAAATCGAGTGCGCTAGCGGCAATATTTAACATATTAATTTTAAGGTTCCTCAAGCATAACAAATTTAAAAGGTTTACAATAACTTAGCACTAGTGTTAAAATCTGTCTTGATTTTGCATTTTGCAAGACCAAGACCAAGACTAGGAAAAAAAAAATAATTGTTTTTGTGAGGAAAAATTAAGGCAAAATAGTTATTATTGTTGCCAAAAATTGTTCTTGGTCTTGCACTTTGCAAAACCGAGGCCAAGACCGCCTAATTGTTGCAAGACCAAGACTAGGACTGGTAAAAAAATCGATTTTTTAAACTAAAATTAATACAAACTAGTTAATAATACTTGACAATCTTAGTTACTATCTGTAAATAATTGGTATAACACTTTTGCATTTAACTCATCTAATTTTTCATTCAGGCTTAGTTAGGTTTCTCTTATCTAAAAAATTACTGTAATATCTTTATACTAATAAGCTAATAAGTAACTGCGTGACTCTTACGCAAGACCAAGATCATGACCAAGGCTGAGTTTGCAAGACCAAGACTCGTCTCGGTTTCGCATTTGGGCAACAAAAATAGTTATTAATATTTCACAATTTTAGTTACTATATGTAAAGAATTGGTATAACTAATATACTTTTGCATGTTTTCCAATTTTTCATTGGTACTTACTTAAGTTTTCCCTATCTGAAAAATTACAGTAATATCTCTATAGTAATAGGCTAATAACTAACTGAAAGACTGTTGCAAGACTTTTGTGCAAGACCAATACCAAGACTACTCATGGTCTCGCATTTGGGCAACTCTACTTTTTATATTGTAAATAATAATAATAAAAAAAAAGGAAAATTGTTTGTCTCACCAATTTAAATGTAGGACAAAACTTTACGATCTGTAAATAATAAATGAAATATTGTTTCATTTGGTCGGATTAGGATCCCAACTGATTTATAAGTAAACAATGGGATGACAATAAAGGGGACTACAAACCCCTTTTGGGCAGCCTAATCCATGGATTATGTATGGACAATCCATTGGACCACCCCCTCCACCTCCCCGCAACTCATAGAGGGCGATTGATTAAAAACCCCCGGACCCTGTTTGTAGAGAGCTCTAGGCTAAAATGATTAGCCCATTTGGAAGCAGGCAGCGCTCATATTGGCCTGCGGTCCGATCCTGCGGTGTTCCATCAATCCAACATAATGATCACTGCCACCAGGATCACAGTTTAGTCCGCTTTATTATCAAGTCGAATGAGGAGCGAGAGTTAATAACATATAAAAACAATGAACTGTAAAAATAAAAATAGTGAACTATATTTTGAAATCAGTGTATTTATTATTCTAAAATGTTATGGAACCAACGTTTCGGAGTTCTAATCCGTCACCAGAGTTCTAATCTAAGATAACAATACAATTCAACATAAATAAAAAACCAACAGTTTTTATAATTTGGCATGGGATTTTATATTATGATCCAAGGCTTTGATACTTTGCACTTAGGAACCACATTCAAAATCCACGACTCGATGTCACCTCGGGAGTGACCAATTGTAGCTCAGTATTAAATATTCGCAACCCATGACTGTTCCAACACAAAAGTGAATGTTTGCTCTAAAAACATTTTCAGATAAATCTAATTTTGATTTCCGATTGTCGAAGAAGAATTAAAGAATGTTTTTTTAATTACTCAACAAAATCGTAAGAATATGTGTTTTTTTATGATTATGGAAATACCTAAATATATTGGAAAATAAAATTTGTATTTAAAATAAAATAGTTTTTAGAAATTAATTAATTTATATTTATCATTTTTTCTCCCTCTCCATTTCGTAGTACAACTTTATATGTTAGATGTTATTTTTTATTGTAAAATTATCAGCTCTCCAACGAAATATTTATTATGTGCATATAAATATATATATATATATATATATATATATATATATATATATATATATATATATATAATATATATATATATATATATATATATATATATATACATATATTCTGATTATTATTTCCGGAAATTCATTTTCAACCTAAAAAAAACACATTTCCTTTTATTCTCCTTTATTCCATCATAAAATACTCTCATAGTTTATATTACATCTAAATTAGATTATGTATAAATTAAAAGTAGTTAGCGACGATCGTTCTTCTTAAATATAACTAATCAATTTTATTTTTCGGATGTACTTCAGTGTTTTTTCAATACGAGCGTTTTCCTTGTACGGTGGCTTGTCTTCAATTTGGAGTTCGATTTGCTGTTTCCGGAACTTTTTGCAGTGGAATATGTGTTCAACTGTCAGATTAGCATTTTCACATACCTCACATGTTGGTCGATGTAAGCCAAGAAGTAGGTGGAGATGGGTCAGTTTGGTATGTCCAATTCTAAGCCTGCTTATTATAGAACACTCTTTTGATGTCAGGTGTTTTGGAGGATACCAAGCTCGATTTTCGTCTTTGGCCAGATGAAGGTGATTGCGCGGCAGTAATCTCCACTGTGCATTCCAACTGCCGTTCACTTTATTTGAAATTTCTCTTCTCCATTCGTTGAGAAACATCGATCCTAAAACAGGTGAATCTGTGCTTCTGGCCGCTTCTTTTGCTCCCTCATCGGCTCGGTCATTGCCAATTATGCCAATGTGTGAGGGTACCCAAAACAATATTATTTTTCGACTATTTTTATTTAGTTTCAGGTTCATTAGCTGAATTTTTTTGTGCAATGTGTTACATGTCCATGCATTTTGCAGTCCCTTGATTACAGATAAGGAATCGGTCACAATTACTGATTTCTCAATATTGGTGTCGATTACGTATTCAAATGCCTTGAGAATAGCCCACGTTTCACTTGTAATAATTGAATTATTGTTATTTAATTTCCATTTTTTTATATTGTTTTGGGTTACTATACAGCATCCTACACCTTTCTCTGATTTTGAACCGTCCGTAAAAATTATGTCATGATTATGGAATAATTTATGGACAATTTCATGATAACTATATCTAATTTCTTCTGGGGTAGTTTTGTTTGGAAGATTGTTCAGTCCTAGTTCATTTTTGATTGGTGGAATTGTAAAAGTAGTTTAAAGAGAGAAATTTCCAACATTAAGCTATTAAGCCCTATTAAGTGACATGAATGAGGATAAGACCTAGATGATATTAAAAATCATTTAATTGTTCGTCGATATGCAGAGTTTAATCAAAATAGTTAAAGACATTTTCGAGAAAAAAAATAAAATAGAATAATCTCAGTACATTATCTTGGACTAATATTTTACGGATGACATGTGGCCCTCAAATAGAAATTCTTGTTTTCCAAATAAAAAATGAAAATCAAATGAAAACTAAATGCTTACACAAAATTACTAAAACTTATAGGGACATGGGCCTCAGTGATTTACAGTTCAGCAAAAAAGATGCACTTTCAAAAGTCATAATTGCTCCACATTTTCTATAAAACGATACGGATTCAACAAAAGGTCTTTTAACCGACATGGCCACAGTTGATATACCTATTATAAGCCGAATGAAAACAAGCTGAATGAGAAATTTACTTTCCTGATATAAGCAAATAAACCACATGCTTAAAATGCCAATCTACAAATTCAAGAACAAAACATCTAATCATTATCACTTGAGAGGTGAGGATAAAAATTTGACAAAATTAAA